GTCCTTTAGCCACATAGGAGAAAATGGTTCTGCAGCAGGCCAATGCTCAGCAGATTGCCCATCTCTAAACGTTCCTCCTCCTTTACACCAGAACATATTTATGGGAAATCTCCTGCTGAAATAGTATAGAAAGTACAGCTTTCAATCTGGAACACCTTAGACCGGCTTCAGCCTGAGCAGGCTGCCTATGAGATGGAGGGTTTGTTGTGAGGACCTGTCCTCAGCAGACAGTAAGTGAGGCGTCTTTGCACCATGGTGAGGATACTGTGTGGATAAATCCTTTGTTGACTTTAGCAATTTTTTTTAATTTACATTTGCTCTAACATCATAACCATGGCTAAAACTAGTTTAGCCGTCCTTTTAATCAATATTTGAAGGAGGATCATTCATAAACCCTTGATATTTGAGAAGATGAGACTCTTAAAAGATACCAAAATTAAGCAAGGAAAAAAAAAGCAGAGGCATCCACAGTAAGAGGGGCAAAAAGACAACATGATAGGTGTGATGGAAGCCCCACTCATTTGTATATGTGTGCAACATTGACACAGATACAAAGAAATGGGGCTTCATCATAGCGTCTCCCCTGTCAACACCCCTATATGCCCCTGAAAAGATCAGGTAGGATTTATTTATTTATATGATTTATATGGCCACCCAACTCACAAAAGTGTGACTCCAGGTGGCAAACAACAATCAAACCAGAATTAAAATAAAAACAAAAACATAGTAGTCAAACAACACAGTCAGGGCACACCAACTTGTGTTGTCTTGCAGGATGAGCTTCTCTTAACGTCCTGGCTCCAATGCCCAAGGGAACAGCTGGTTCTTCAAGGCCTTCCTGAAAGCTAACAGGGTTGTGGTCAGTTGATTCTCAAGGGGGAGGTTATTCCACAGAGCAGGTGTCATGGAGAAGGATGCTCAGAATAGATTAGCAGTGTTATATTGGCAACAGACCTAAATAATAGACAGCACTACGGCCTATCTTTTCAAAGAAAACAATTTAATTTCTCCAGTTAGTTCTATGAATTTGAACAGTTCTAAGATCCAGGAGATGCTCACATTTTTTATGTTTCTAAAAATCCATTGCTGGCAGTATAGCAGATTAGGTGCCACAAAAGGAGTCCTATAAGTGCACACACCTTTTATTTAGGGCTGTGATTTTGATTACTATGGTTGACTTTCTGAAAATAGTGCAATCAGCACTAACCAATAAATTATCCCATTATATTTCAACAATGCTTGTTCTGTTTCTGACCAAAATGGTAACTGCTGCTGCTACAATTACCTGTAGTCACTGTGGTTTCTCCTTGTTCCAATAGTTTGCTTCCATTGATGTAATGCATTATCTGTTCTTGCATTGCTAAAAACATCCGTTTAATTCTAAAAGGAGTAAAATCACAATGGAGGAGTTTATGGTCATATAATTTATACATTGCCAAAGGCAACAATAGTAAATAGGTACGTAGTGCACTCTGTTTTCATGTTATTGATCTTGGAAAATGTGTTTTCTTCACATTTAAACAGCAGTAGCTACTTCATATGTATTCATAAATCTATATTTGACAAATATATGGGTTCCATAGGAAAGCATTTCAATTACTAGAATATTGTTTGGAATAAAAATGGATTATAATGTTCTGAGAAAAAAGGAAAATGTTTATTCTTTGTTTGTTACTATTGTTATTTCTTCCATAATAACCATCATCTTTCTTTTAATGAGCATTTTTTTCTGCTAAAATTTTCTGCTATTTTAAGTAATATAAATTACTTAAAATATAAATTGTGGAAGTATTTTTTTATAGTTTTTCTAGTTATAAATCAACCAGAATCAATATTTCAAGATCTTATACTGATACTGAGGTTCAAGATCATGGTACTATACAATACAGAAGGGACAGGGTTTAAGTTCTTGAATTTTTGGAGCTTTAATTTGTATTGCTGCCTTCTATCTTTTACAAATATTTTAGGTATAAAGATCATACGTCTGACTTTCCATGCAGTGTTTGGTATGTAGGCATAGTCATCGTAGTCTTTACTGTATCAGGTTTTCTTTTTTCTCCTTCTCTTGCTGCCAGTTTGTACTTTTTCTCCATATTGGCTTGGCACGTTTCTTCCTCATTCCAGGAAAACTTTTAGGATCTGGTGAATCCAGAGCTACCCCCTGTCCACCATGGAGGAGCTCTTTTTGCTATCCTCAGGTCAGAACGCTAAGCAGTGGAGCAACAGAGAGATTGGAGGGTGCTGCCTAGGCACCAGAGAAGCTCTAAGGGTGGGCCCCCTTCTCTGGCCAGGCTTTCCCACATTACTATGTCATCATTTTATTATTCACTAATTGTCTCAATCATTCATCATAAACAATCAAGTCCATCTTTTAGATCAGTTATTCATTTCTCTGCCATGTGAACATATGAGGAGACTTATACTTAAATCACATATTTAAAGCAGACTCTTTAAAAAAAAGAAAAAGACTTTCAGCTATAACATTTTCATTATTCAATCTCCTGATGGCTCAAACACTTTTTTTGTATTCACTTGTCTCATTCCCATCCATCCATTCATGTCACTTAGCAAAATAACTTTTTCCCCTGGGTTTCATTCATTTAGAATGTGCATAGTTTTTCCAAGAAGTCCTTTCTGGTTCTTCCATTATCATCATTCACTAGAGTGTAACATGCAATTATCACCAGCCGATGGGTTCCTATTTTTATAGACACCCACAATAGTCTAGATGACACCAATTAATAGTTCCTGAAATACATTTTAACTCTTTCATTCAGTTCTTGCATATATTCATCAATTCCGTTCTACAAGATCAGTCCACCTTCATTTTGATCTATTGTCTCCCTTCCTCTTAGTTTCAAAAACACACAATTTATCTATTTTTATTTATTTCATTTCATTAATTAGTGAAATTTAAACTTTAAAAAATTTAAATTTTAAAAATTTAAACTTTGGGCCAGTTACTCTCTCTCAACCCATGATATTAGGCTTGGGTGTCCTATTGCAACCAATGGATCAACATTTGGTTGATCCAAAAAAAGTGGACTCTGCACCTGACATTAGGAAGGGGGGAAAATTAATGCTCTTTATCGTATTCTTCTCTTCAATTTCCCATGATATAATTGATATCACATTGGATCATAGATATTTGCTTCCACTGCCCATCATGGCTTTGGTCAGTTGAGGCTTTCACATCTCAGTTGTTAGGAAGGTAAAAAAGGTAGATAAAAAGATTACCAGCCTTAGTTATTACTGAGGGACATTCTGCACTAATGGTAAGGACTTACCTGCCATTTTTAGTATGATTTGGCCAGTTTGCCATAAGTGCCTCCAAAGTATAACTGAATTGGATGGTCATAATATTCTGCAAAGATCTCTAATCTAAAGACTACCTTGTAAGTTGCCATACTGTTGCCAGAATCCCACCAACTTGGAAGTAAATGCAACAGATTCAGGATACCCTACGAATTGTGGTACACTGTTATGTTTTGGACATGCACAAAAATCACTTAATGTGAAAGAGAAACAGAGGCTTCTGATTCTGATGGAGGAAGCAGCTTTCCGTAAGGAAGAGAATCAAAATTACAGTCCCAGAGTCAGGGATGCTTTAATCTTGATTCCTGCACTGAACCGGAGGTTGGACTTCATGGCATAAGTTACCTATTTCAAGTCTCTGATTCCATGATTCCTTCTGTTAAACCATGCTGGAGAAGGACAGGGTCCAAGTCGCACCCAGTATTATTTCAACATAAGCCATGGCTGACCATGTAGTATTTATTTATACAGAACCTAATTTCAAACACATTGCACATGAATAGGCTCTTTCCATGCAATTGGGGACATAAGATTTCTTTTTTGTTGGGTAATCGTTCATTTATCTTTTTTTGTGTATTAAGCACCCTGTATTCTCTCTGTCTTCAGTTGTGAGCATTCAAAGCCATTTTGGACAAACTTTGAAAAACATTAATTTTTAATAGGTCGGAGGCAGGAGAGCAGTGCTGAAACTTATTGTCTTGGGCAGATATATGTACAGTGGTACCTCGGGTTACGAATTTAATCCGTTTCATGACTCTGGTCGCAACCCGATTTGTTCGCAACCTGAAGCAAATTTTCCCATAAGGTTCAATGTAATTACTGTTAATCCGTTCCGGCGTTTGCGGACCACGCGTCAAGGGCGGAAAAACGGCCGCGGACCACACAGCAGGGCAGAAAAATGGCCACGGACCACGTGGCACGGGTGGAAAAATGGCCGCGGACCACGTGGCACGGGCGGAAAATGGC